CATTCGAGTAAACATGTACAATAATATCAAAGAAATCGAACGAGGAGATTAATCATAATCAAAATAAGAATATAAACTATTAGCAAAGATATAAAGGGATAAAAAAATCTGCTACATGTAAAAAGCACAGCTAAATATTAGTGAACCTCGAGTTAAGAACATGTCAAATGCCATCTAATGAAAAATCAATGATTTCATATCTATCAGGAAGGCAATAAACTTTCTTTGTTCAAAGATGTGTAAATCTGGTGTCCTGCTTCAGGGTTATGAGTATATGCATGAGATTTCTGGTATCTTCTTGGTAATACTTTCCACAGACTAAACACACATAAACATTCAAATTCGAAAGAGAAATAGAACAAAATTTCTTGAAATCAAAATCCAAAACCTGCAAACAAAAAGCTATAAAAGTGAAATGCATATGCAAATAAAAGCATATAAAGTCACTACCTCCTCATGAATTATGAGATATACTCAAAAAGAAATTCGGTAAGCTCATGAAACAGCTTTTGCATCTTGGAGTCCTCGGTCATTGTATCCTCTTCTTCTTCTCTCTTTGCTTTTATTCTATTCACACATAGTCTAAAATTTTTGTGAGTTGAAAGTAACTGGAGGATCGATAAGATTGTGGATAGATGTCCACAAATTGATACAACAAAGAGCCAAAATTTTCAAATATAACAAAGCAGAAAAATAAGAGAATGAAAGACAAAGAAGATGATCGAGAACAACACTTTTTATATCAACTGAGAAAGATTTATTTGTCATGGGAGACAATGAGTTGTAAACTTTTTAGGGTTAATATAAGAAAATTAAATATAATTAGTATATTAATTTAAAGAAATTAAATATAATCAGATGATCATGCACTGACATTACTTGTTGAACATGCAAATAATCAATTTGATGCTAAGGGAAGATCAAAAGACATAGTGGATATGATTGACTCTATACCAATAGTTAAGGGTAAAAACGGAATATAAATGTTTTTCATGTATCCTGAATTTTTAAGTAGTATAGATATAGATATAGATATATCTTTAATGACTAATTTTTTTACATTATACCGTCAATATCATAAACTAATTGCAATGTAACTTTCACATTAACTTTCGTTGTCATTTCGTTATATTTAAATACATTTAGTGTGGAGGCCACATATCNGATATAGATATATCTTTAATGACTAATTTTTTTACATTATACCGTCAATATCATAAAATAATTGCAATGTGACTTTCACATTAACTTTCGTTGTCATTTCGTTATATTTAAATACATTTAGTGTGGAGGCCACATATCAAATTTGATAGAAATTGCAAACAAAGGTAGTATAATATTGAGAACGTAATTTGTATAAATTAATCACTAAGTGTAAATTAAAATTTTTAAAATTTTTGGGGTACAAAGTGTAATTCGACCATAAGAAACATTTTACAATTGTCGGTCGTCGTGTTTTTACTGGTGGAAGTTGCCCATGGGCCATGGCAGACCCAAACTATCTCATGCTGTGAGCCCAAAGTTGAGTAAACCAAACATAACAAAGCCCAGTTCTTCGGAGGAGCCGGTTCATTATCTCGGCATATTTCCANGCCATGGCAGACCCAAACTATCTCATGCTGTGAGCCCAAAGTTGAGTAAACCAAACAAAACAAAGCCCATTTCTTCGGAGGAGCCGGTTCATTATCTCGGCATATTTCCCCACTGAAAAGAAACAATTCTTGTAGACTTGTACCTCAAATTTTCGCTTTGTTACCTCATTAGTATTTTGTTATATTCCTTCTTATGATCTTACATTTTTTTTTTGGGTGGTAAGGAGGAATAGTAACAATGTAAAAGCTTTTTAGTTTTTAATTTAAATTTCTCATATTAAAGGTTTCTCGATTTTTTTTTTATATTAGAGAATTAATTACAACATATTTTCTTTATATTTTTTAGATTCTTGTAATTAATTGTAATATCTCTGTAATTAGTTCCCTTAATTCTAGGATAGTTTCATATTGTTGTGATTGAGTAACTGCCCAATTTGTGTATATATATTCATTCTTATTCAATGGAAAAACTAAGCTATTGTTTTTCAATATTTTCCTCTCTATTTCAACATGGTATCAAGAGCCTAACCTTCTTGGGTGTCTTTTTTTTTCCAGAACAACCACGATCAGCATTCTTCCTCTCCATGGCTTCCGATGCGACTTCCGCTTCCACCAAAGAACCTAACGCCATCCAAAACTCCCAGGATCCTCAACATCCTCTCCTTACCATCAATCTCTCCAATATCTCCAAATTGTCATCCACCAATTATCTCACATGGAGCCCTCAAATCAAATCTCTTCTTGAAGGTTATGATCTTCATCACTTCATTGATGGCACCATACTCCACCACCACCCACCATCACCGTCAATGGTGTTGCATCCACAAATCCCGCATACACGACCTGGAAGCGTCAAGATCGTCTCATCTTTAGCGCCGTCCTTGGTGTTATCTCCGTTTCCCTGCAACCACTTATTGCCCGCACCACCACTTCCCTTGATGCATGGCAAACCGTAGCTAATACCTACGCCAAACCATCTCGTGGTCATATTAAACAATTGAAAGAACAATTAAAGCGGTGTACCAGGGACGCAAAATCCATTAGTGAATATATGCAAGCCATAAAGACTCGTGCCAATGAACTTGCTCTTCTAGGGAAGCCAGTTGGTGATGTTTATATCGAAAAAAGGGGAGAGAGGCGACTACTAAGTAGTAACCCCTAAACATGACCATGAAATCCCCCACTGTATAATGTCCAATTTGAATCATAGCTACTAACCTAAAAAGGTAGCCTACCACCACAACACCACCAAAACAAAGCTACAAATCGCGCTACTCCTGTAAATCAAATCCTGCTTGATAACAACACGAAAGTCAAGAATGACCCTAAACGATGACAACTTACCACTAGACCACCTATTCAAGTGGTTTCTCGATTTTCCAACTCTGCAAGACTGCAACATAAAATGCCACACTCCGTTTTTTGCCAATTGTTCGAAAAATAAAGGGCTTATTTGCAGGTGTAAAATGGAAACTTTACAATCAATTTTCGGAAAGCTAACCTAGACTGCATAAATATAAACTTAATATGATTCGAGCAGTGTGGTGAAACCAAGATGTATGTTAATGTTGCTAGGTAAGATGCTTTAGCATAACTAGACGTGATGATCTTTTTTCTAATGAAAACCCAAGTTACAATGCATACAATAGAACCAACAGATGCCGCCGTGGTAGCAGCAACAATCAATGACTAATGCATAGAACTCAAAAGGCATGTCCTTGTAGTTCATTGAAAATAGCAAACAAAAATATCTATCAAGTTGATTAATGGGAGGACGATACTCATGAGACAACCTTACTCTGTTCTTGGAAATGGTTTTCTGAGTCCCCCCTAGGCCAAAGAAATTATAACTTTAGTAGGAAAATAGTGAAACCAAACGTAAAAACATCATTAACTTGTCTACAGGTTCAATAAGTGGCAAAATTCCGGCATACATCTACATATGTACTGTGGGAGCCAAGGACTTGCTACTGCCGGTCGGCACTAGCAAGGACCAAGCAAGTGCTACTGCCGGGTCTAGCTGCTACCGCCTACCTGCCTAGCTGCTATTGCCCATTTTTTAGCTGCTATTGCCAGTCGGCCCTAGTCAAAGGGTGGTCTTTGCATGAGCCTACTTGCAACCTCTAAATCTCAACTACTCAGCAAAGGTCCAACCAAGGATTTGGAGTCCTAGTCCAACTCTACTCCGCCGAGTATTAAGGGACTATTGCTTAGTCTAACAACGCCTCCTGACGAGCATATATCTTCCTTCAATTTAGGACCTAGTATCCTAGTGCAATTCTACCTTGAAGAAGCAGCTGGAGATAAGGATCTAGGAGCAGGAGTCCTAATCTAACTCTACTTCATGCATCTAGGGCTTGGTGATAAGGTTTAGCCAATCAACTAAGAGTTCATGTTCCTTTGGGATACATCTCCCTATTGCTATAAATAAAGACCTCCAGCTACTAGGTAATGGAATCTAAGCCATTTCACTCAATACTCTTCTCTTTGACTTGCGATTTGACTTAAACGTCGGAGTCCCTTTGGTCGCCTCCGATCATCGCCTCACATAGGTGTTTTCTTGTTTTGAAGGTTCACCGAGGCTTTTCCACCACCCTTTCCATCCGTAAGAGGTGGTGACCCTTTGCGTGAATTTATCCACCCACTTGTACAAAAGGCACTTGTTAAAAGGAAGCCTAGATTTGCATATTCAAGCATTAGAATTCAACCAAATAGAGAAGCATTACCAGCTTAATACTTTTCGTTCATCTCACCACAGAAAAAAAAGGCTACTCAAATCGAATATGTCAGCAAGTTCCATACTTTATCACAAGCAGTTGTAGATTTGTTAACTACAACTACAACAAAACACCAAAATTTCAAGTCAATAGCACTATATTTAGTAGGCATGAGAAGTTAACAGGTAATCCAGCAGCATGGTAACAAAGAAGCAAATGCATTAGTTTGTTACTCAACTACACAGGATGGAAGTATACCCAAATCTTGACTTCCCATGTAATGAATTTCCTAAGGCAGAATAACTACACTGATAAAATACATTCCTTTTCCCGGTTATCGGCATTAAATGACTAATAAACAGAGAAACCACAAACGGACATTGATAATCAAGCTACATCATGAATAGGACATAAGAAGCAAACCATATGAAACATGAATGAACTAAAGGAGAGCATATTTGCATTCTGACTGACAATTTGGAGCAAAAAAAGATCATCCTCAGACGTAAGATAACAAGAGCCAAAACCCAAAAGACTCTTAATTCTTACCTCAGAAGATCACAACTAGTCTAGTCATCAAACATATGTCATCTAGTCTTTCTCCTCCGGTCCATATGCACCTTGTGTGGAGTTTCAGTTTCTTTTCTGGTTTTATTCTGTTTTTTATAATGGTATTGTTTGGGTGTCTGTACTTTGTATAGCAAGAAGAGAGCAACATCATATAATGTGTGAGAGTTGGCATACATTCTGAGGTATTGCTAAGGTTTCAAAATACAAGAGAATCCCCCATTTTCAATCGAAGAGCAAATCAAGATTGAATCTTTGTAACATACAGTTATAGCGCTGAGAAAAGCGTGATGAGTACAACATTGAAACAATTGAGATTGAAAAGCAACAATCAAACCTATTCATCTGCACCGAACCAAGAAATGACAGAAGAAAAGGACGAGGAGAGAGAGAGAGAGGGGGGGGATCAGTTGGAGAGTTTCGAAGATGACGAAGAGGAGGAAGATGACACCAAAGTCCTCCAGAGATAGCGGCCACTTGCCATGTCCACACAGGTCCAGAAACCAGCCCCAATTGCCCCCCAACCCTACAGTAACAGATACATTCGTACATTTCACGTGTACATCTATATGTAAAGCGGAAAAGAAAATTGAAGAAGAAAAAAGGGAAGTTGAAAGAAAAACCCTAGAATGAAGAAAAGATGAGAAAATGGCCAGACCTTCGAGAATCGGTTGACAGGAGCAGTTGATTGAGAGGGATTATTCACCGAATCTTTAGGGGAATCGTCATTCTCGGCGACTTTTGGTTGAGATTTGAGGTTCTTCAGCAGGAAAAACCCAGCGAGCGTAGCCGACAGGAAGATCAAGATAATTCTCAGCGGACACATTGCTCTTTTCTCTGTCCAGGTATATTGTTTACAGAGAGACTTCTCTTCCGAGAGAGAGAGAAATTTGGTGAAGAAAAGGATACTCTTTCTGTTGGTTATAGTTAGGTAGAATTACACGCAGATAATTAATCCCTTAAATCCTTTATTATTTAAAATATGAATAGTATTATGTATCTTAAATTTGTAACCCAATTTTATATTTCAAATCGAGGAGGATCATTTGATTAATGGGTCTTATTTAAAAAAGTTGATGGGACCTACTGATCCAATGATCCTCCTTGATTTGAAATACATATCATTACTCTTAAATTATTACATACAAATCTCTTAAAATTTATAACACTTAAACCCTGCTGTCAAAATATGTTAGTAATTATATACAAATTCCTTAAACTTTATAGGAATATAACAATTAGATGTCTCATATTTAAAATATTATATTTAGACTACTTATTAATTACAAAACAAATAAATTCTATTAAACGACCAAATTATTTCGATTAAAGATGTAAGATATTATATCCATTACGGCTTGACCCCTTGTTTTTTTTTTTTGGTTTTATTTCAATAGACAGGATAATATATGATAATATACTAATTATGATTTTTTTAAGAAAAAATTAAAATTAAAATTTTAATATTAGTTTTATTTCATTAAATCATATAATAGAGTATGAATTTTAGTTGTAAAATTGAAAATATTTGATTTTCTTTTCTTAATTGGAGTATTTTTTGTTTAAGTATAATATTTTAAACTTGAGCAGTCTAAAATATTTTATGTCTAAAAACATTAAGAGTCAGAATATAATTTACTAACAGATAAACTGATGATAAGATTTTAAGTGTTACGCGCGTATAAACCTTAGGGAATTTGTATGTAATATTTTAAATATCGGGAAATTTAAGTAATTAAGTGACAAATTTCAAGAGGATTGAGTATAATTCTCTCAAACTATTTTACACCTACTTACTAATATTTTCTTTTTTCAACGGTGAGAAAATNGTTAAAAAATATAATTTTATCCTAATAAAAAATTATAATTTCATATTACCTTTTATTTTATGGGTCTAATATATTCTAAAATTCAAAATCAAACTTATCATTTGAATGTCTAATAGAATAAAGGGTTGCACATTGAGTAATATATTGTATTGGATATAAAAAATATTATATAAATATCTACATTATATTAGACATTCAAATGGTAAGTTTGATTTTAAACTTTAGAGTATATCGGATCCACAAAATAAAAGATAATATGAAATTATAATTTTTTATTAGGATAAAATTATATTTTTTAACAGTTATATTAACATTCATCAACGAAAAAGGGTTACGTGTTACACGTGCACAAACGTCATGAGATGTGAGAGTAATATTCTAAACGTGAAGAGATTCAAATGATTAAGTGAAAAGTATGATCCAAATGATTAACCGAAAAATATGAGGGAATCTAAGTATAATTTATCAATTTAGTTTTAGATGTACATTGATACAAATTTCTATTTTTAATGGTATAAATTAAAATTTTTTATCTTTGGGGATGTACATTGATACAAATTTCTATATTTGAGGGTAAAAATTGAGATTTTTTATCTTAGGGGTAGATATTAATACAAATTTATATCTTTGAGGGTACAAATTAAAATTTTTAATCTTTGAGGACATAAATTGAGATTCAAATTATATTTCGACGTGCAACTTGCAATTAACCCAATAATAAAATAGAACTCAAATTTTTGAATAGGGTAGTTATCAAATAATATGGAAGAATGGTTAATAAAATATGTGAGATTTATTTTTTTAATATTAGATGGTAACATTAGGTAATGATGATTATGATATAATGTCATCATTGCAATGAATATTTTTATTTAAAAAAAAAATCTATATTGTCTCAAAACTCTGTTTCTTTACCCTATCGTCCTTCACTTTACTCCTCTATTTTATTGTTGTTCTAAAATATGTTATCTTGATCTTTAGTTTTTTTTTAAATTTTCAATAAACAACATCATTACAATCATTTGAGAAATTACGAAAAAACCTCCTAATTTTAGGAGATGCATCCTTGCACATGACGGAAAATCCACATGCCATCAACTACAAAATTATAATTTCAAATACACCCAAATTTTCTTCCAAAATTCCATTTGTAATTATTCTCTTGATATTACAGGGCCTATAACAAACAAACTGCATAAAGCTACGCTACTGAAATCACTATCGGTACCATAGTCCAATTCATCTCAATCAAAAATCAAAAATTTATTTTGGTGTATTATTTTGGTCACTTAAGAAATATAAACGTTTCAACGTATTTTGAAAATGTTTCGATTCTCTTCGAAAATTAAATGAAAAAAATAAAAAATTTAAAAATTATTTTTCTAATTAGTCAAAATATACCAAAATATTTTTAAATGCCTTAAAACATTTCAAAACAATTATGAAAAAGTATTGAAACATTACAAAATATCTTAAAACATTATAAAACACATCGAAGTATTAGAATTTCGATGTCATCACTGATTTATTTTGGTCTCCTTAGAAACAAAAACGTTGCGGACATTTCGATCAGTTTGAAACGAAATTTTGATCCTTAATATTAATTATTGATTTTAGAGTTAATTGCATTAGAGGTCCCCCAAATTATGAAAATTATCTTATTTTGGTCTCTAAATTTCCAATTATTTCATTTTAGTCATTGAAGTATTAAATATATTTCTATATGGTATCTCAAACTTTTATATATATTCCTCTTTCTTCTATTCTCTACTATTTTCTTCTCACCAAACAGAACAAAAATAAAATTTATGTAGAGAGAGTAAAAAAAAAATTGCAAAGAATTGAGATTTATTCTACTCGCTTCCTCTATTTATAGGCAACAAAACAAGAAAGGTTTCATTAACTGGGGTAATTCAGTGGGTATAGAAAAAATTCTATCTCTTTAGCTTCTCTAAAAGGGGTTGGAAAAATTAAAAGGCGGAGAAAATGTTAATAAATAATATTAAATTCTCTTTATACAGTTGTGTAAGGGGAGTTTGGAGATTTAAATTTTTTTCATAAATCTTGACATGATAAATGTGAATTTATAGCAGTATTTTATGATCGATTTAAAATTTTAAAAACTCAAAAGGTTTTTACATTTGAGTTAAATTCTTTGTTCAAGGTAAAATTGTCTTTGTAAGATAATNTTCATAAATCTTGACATGATAAATGTGAATTTATAGCAGTATTTTATGATTGATTTAAAAATTTAAAAACTCAAAAGTTTTTTACATTTGAGTTAAATTCTTTGTTCAAGGTAAAATTGTCTTTGTAAGATAATTTAAGGACAAAATAGGAGTCTGACATTAATTATGAAGGGTAAGGATGATATAGTTGTATTATTTGATGGTAAAAGTGAAGGAAAAAAAAAAGTTTTTCAACTATATTAATATTTTAAAGTAATATAAATTTGACTATCATAAGTTNAAAAAAAAGAAGTTTTTCAACTATATTAATATTTTAAAGTAATATAAATTTGACTATCATAAGTTCGAAATCACCCCCAACTAAAAAAATAATACAAGAGACTATCACTTTTCTTTTCCAGACTGTTTCCAACTTTCTTATCCACACGTTTCCGAACTGTTGATGCGACCTCCAACAAGTGAAGTGAACCCACCAGCATAATTTAAGTTCGTAACCACCCCAAGTAAAATAATAATACAAGAGTCTATTACTTTTCTTTTCCAGACTGTTTCCAAATTTCCTATCCACACATTTCCTAACCGTTGATGCAACCTCCAACAAGTGAACCCACCGTCATAATTTGTCAGTGTGACACAATGTAATCTATCAACCCACCTAGCTATCCATACAAGTTTTGTTGTCGGTGATAAATTTTTGTACATTTAATCATCTCGTATTGTTAGCTAAGAGACACGACTCCATGCTAAATTGAAGAATGCATCAAACATTTAAACTCAAAATTAATTATTTCANTTATAATTTGTCAGTGTGACACAATGAAATCTCTCAACCCACCTAGCTATCCATACAAGTTTTGTTGTCGGTGATAAATTTTTGTACATTTAATCATCTCGTATTGTTAGCTAAGAGACACGACTCCATGCTAAATTGAAGAATGCATCAAACATTTAAACTCAAAATTAATTATTTCAACACAACTGATACAAAAAAAAAAAAACGGTAAACTTTGAATAACAGTAGGAGATAGTAGAAAATGTAAGCTACACTTTCTCCTTTTTGTCTCCTATTTACAGATCAAAACTCATTTCTTTTTTTCCTCTTTTCTGGTACATGTAATAATCCTCTTGATCAAGATAAGACATAGATTATAATAATACAAACACAAAAAATCATAAAAATAAGATTCATAATCGTGATAGTAATGGTAAATAACTCGACCCCAGCTGTCGCCGCCGGCGAGTTTAGTCACCGGAAACCTCAACCTCCGGTTGGCCCATAATCATAGGCTTAATTTTCTTCTTCCACAGCTCATGACACAACCCAGAATCTCCAGCTCTCCTCTTCATCTCCACAACCACCAAACTGTCGGTCAACAGGTGAACCTCCACGCCGACTACAAATTTACCATTCTGTCCTTGCAAGTCCACACCCCATTCCTTTCTTCTCTTCAACCTAACATTCTCTCCTTTCACTACCTCCTCAACTTTCTCAATGATTTTCTCCGGTGAGCCCTCCACCACGATTCGTTCGCCGTTATTCTCCGAGCCATCGAACAAACCAGAGAGGTTCAAACCAGAGGNCTACCTCCTCAACTTTCTCAATGATTTTCTCCGGTGAGCCCTCCACCACGAATCGTTCGCCGTTATTCTCCGAGCCATCGAACAAACCAGAGAGGTTCAAACCAGAGGAAAACGAAATTATATCAAACGCGTTCAACGGCAACTTTTCATCCTCCTTAGCAGCCTTAAAACACATATCTTCGTCATCGTAGAATTTCTCTTCTTTGTACCCTTTTCTGAACCATGGGTCGCGAATGATCTCCTCAATGGTGATTCTGGTTTGTGGGTTTGTGTCCAGAAGGCGAGACAAAAACCGTTTGAGATCCGGCGACATCCATTTAGGACATCGGAACTCGCCCTTATATATCTTCTTATACATCATCATGAGATTCGGATCGTTGAACGGCAAGTAACCGGCTGTCAAAACGTATAGAATCACCCCACATGACCATACATCGACCTTTGCACCATCGTAGCCTTTTTTCGATAGAATTTCCGGCGCTACATACGCCGGAGTTCCACAAAGCGTGTGTAAAAGCCCATCAAATCGGATTGAATCGGTGACCGCACTGAGTCCAAAGTCTGATACTTTCAGGTCACCGTTCTCGTCTAGTAGTAGATTTTCAGGTTTCAAATCTCGGTGAAAAACTCCACGAGAATGGCAGTAACCGACGGCGGAGATGAGTTGTTGAAAATATTTACGGCTAAGATCTTCGCTGAACCGACCTTTGGCAATCTTTGCGAACAATTCACCGCCTTTGATGAACTCCATCACGAAATAGATCTTCGTTTTCGTTGCGAGGACTTCGAAGAGCTTGACAATATGTGGGTGGTGCAACCGGCGCATGATAGATATTTCACGCTTGATGTTGGACATCAAGGTTGGGTTAAGAATCTTTTTCTTGTTTATGATCTTGATGGCAACGCTTTGGCCGTTCCTGGTGTCTCTGGCATGGTAGACTTTGGCGAATGCGCCGCAACCCAGAAGTTTTCCGAGCTCATATTTGCCAAATAAGGCGTTTTCCTGTGGTGGTAGTGAGGCCGGCGGGGACGGGCCGGGGACATTTTCGATCTCTGGCATCGAATGTCCAGAGATCGAACAGACTTCTTGTCTATCAAAAAATATATATCAAAGTAAAATTTACTGTTTTTTTGAGAAAACCCTCAGAATTAGGGTTTTGTTTGATCGGTTATTGCTGTTTAGTCTGGAGAGAGATTGGGTGAGGATGAAGGAGAACGGCTGTAAGTTGCGACTTTGGTGCTGGAAGCTTCACGAATTTGTGTGGCCTATATATGTTGGCGTCTTTGACTGGGGGAGAGGAAGAAAGGAATTTGTGTGATAGTTTGAACCTTAATTTAGATTTTCAAAAATGAAAAAATTTTAATTTAGATCCTTAAAAATAAAAATTTATATCAATGTGCACCTCTAAAATAAAAAATTTTAATTTGTATCCTTAAAGATAGAAATTTATATCAATGTATACTTAAAATTAAATTAATAAATTATATCTAGATCCCCTCATATTTGTCACTTAATCATTTGGACTCCTTCACATTTAAAATATTACTCATACATCTTATGACGTTTGTGCACGTATAATACGTAATCCCTTTTCGTTAATATATGTTAACATAACCGTTAAAAAATATGATTTTATCCTAATAAAAAATTATAATTTTATATTACCCTCTATTTTGTGAGTCCGATATACTCTAAAGTTCAAAATAAATTTTACTATTTGAATGTCTAATATAATGTAGATATTTATATAATATTTTTTATATCCAATGTAATATATCACTCAATATGCAACCCTTTATTTTATTAGACATTCAAATGATAAACTTAATTTTGAACTTTAGAATATATTGGACACATAAAATAAATTATAATATGAAATTATAATTTTTTATTAGGATAAAATTATATTTTTTAACAGTTATATTAACAGATATCAACTAAAAAGGTTTACGTGTTACACGTGCACAAACGTCATGAGATGTACGAGTAATATTCTAAATGTGAAGCGGTTCAAATGATTAAGTGACAAACATAAGAAGATTTAGGTATAATTTATCAATTTAATTTTAGATGCACATTGATACAAATTTTTATTTTTAAGGGTGTAAATTGAGACTTTTTATCTTTGGGGGTGCATATTGATATAAATTTCTATTTTTGAGGATACATATTGAGATTTTTGATTTTTAAGGGTATAAATTCAGATTCGAACAATCTTTGAAGGTAAAATTTACAATTAACCCATAAAAGAAAGAAAGCAAAAAAAATGAAGAAAAGAAAAATATTACTTTTATTACGCGGTACGACTAGGACGCTGAACTTAATTTTAATGGGTAAATGTTAGAAGGACCTTATTTTGTCTGTATTTCACGTATAGCCTTTGACATTTATAAAATGGCACAACTACCCCAAAAATAGAATTAAATTTATCATTATATCTTATCTTAATATTTTCCACCAAACGCAGGCAGGTTGTTCTTTCTCCCAACACTCGCACCATCACAGAGCTCTTTTTCCCCCCAACCCTCAACCCGACGACAACCCCGCCCACCAAAGACCACAACACTTGTACTAAATTTTTTCCCACAATCGAAATTCTTTTGCCCACTTTTTACAAAATCTAAACTTGATCTTAATCATGCCACAACGATTGTAACCACCATTTTTGTCTCTTGATCCAATAACATATCCAAAGTCATCAAAACAATTCATCGAGTAAAACAATTGATTTGATTTTATGTTTTTCCATGCATATATATTTTTTTGTTTTTCAATAAATATCTTTTTTGCCAAACCTCTAAACCTAATCCACAACATGTCTATTTCTTTCTTTCTATTTGCTTGTCTCTCCTCCACGCAGATATGATTAGGAACATTAGTGAAACCAAAATAATAAAGAAAATCAAGAAAATAGTGAAAATGAGATCTATGTGTCACTTAATTTGTGATATATTTCTTGGTTTCTCAGGATTGTTATTGATGCTACTACTATCTAATCTCTTAATGACCACCACTTGGAATAGCCATGATTCAGCCCACATGTATCATTTTATAAAAGCACTACAATCCAATTGTCTTTGCGAAGTGGTTTGCACTACAATCCATGGTTTTAGAGCACCTCACCAAATGCCCTTTCTGGAGATGGCAGTGGCACGTCACATTGGTTTAGTAGGGTTTTAGGAAGAATTGAAGCATCTCTTCACTATCTGATTGAATTTGTTTCTAATTATTGTGGATATCTGGCTGTAATAAGTTTCAAGTACCAGGGGTTTTTGTGTTATTTGTGATAATATTAGGGATACCCGTGTTAGTAGGTCAAAACTCGGGATTGTCCGTGTAAGATTTATCCTATTTTAATCTTTTGCATACAGGTGTCCAAATTTGACTATTGACGTGTCAGCTTTTCAATGGGTACAATTGTGGCACGAAATTAGCCATTTCCAAAAAGTAGGTAGGAGGGGTGGTTGGGGGCTAACTATTAAGCGTGTTGCTTTCAATGGCCGGTGCAATTTTTTTTTTTTTTAATGCTACGTATACTAAAACTTTTAATAAAAAGTACATTTATCAAATGGGTTCATAACTTTATATTTAATTAAATGGGTTCATAATCTTTTTCTTTCTTAATCAAAATTCCAGCCATCCTCCAGTGACTTTTACAGCAACTAGCTACCGTTCCGCTGACTTTTTCAGCGAAGCTCCGACAAGTTTCCAACCTGCTCTGACCACTTTTCTGCTATGGCTTGTCTAAATGATTTAACTTGCCTTATAGAGATTGTGTTGGGCGGCATCCACTACAATATTTTGATGAAGATTATGAGGTTTTGTGACTTGCACAAAAAAAAAACCCATCAAGGTTGACATGAAAACTAAAAAAGGAACTCAAGCTGCATTTGATCATCGCCTTGAGGCATGTGAAGACACTCATTGTAACATTTTCTACTGGTTTACTAATAATTATGTTCCTTCTACTCAGAGTCTTATTCCTAAGTTTCGGAATGTCAAGCTTGCCAGATATTTTTTGGCGAACCGATACAATTGTTCTAGTGATGCTGCTCTCCAGTTTCACAAGCTCTATCAGATGCAGCAAAAACCTGGCCAGTCTATTGCTGAGTTTCATCCTTAGGTTAGTAGTGTTTGGGATCAACTTTCTTAGGCGGACCCAACTTTTAAGGATGTTGACAACCAAGATCGTCTTTAGTTTATTCATTTTATGATGCACAGTCTAGACAATTTTGAAACCATTCGAACATCATTACTTCATTGTTCTCTTCTTCCTACACTAAAAGTTGATTTCACATAGCTCATTTCTAAGAAAACACAACAAAAAAGTCGTCGGGTCCATTTCATTGGCCTGGTCATTGCCACTGCACCGTCTAACTCCTTTACTCCAGTCACTCCCACTGCAGTTGCTTCCTCCTATAGACCATGTCGTTTCAATAAACAATGTTACTATTGTAAGGAAGAGGGCCACATCTCTGATTGTCCAAAGAAAAAAGTTAAGGATGCTAGAGATGCTCAGAAAGTTAAGTTGCATTCATCCCACAAGCTTGTTGATGCTGTTTTTACTAGCCCATCGACTTTTGACTACTCCATTTGCACCTCATTTATCTTCCCTTATTGCAGCCGACCTTAAGGTAATTGTGACCCAAGTTTTATCTTGTATTTTCATTGTCTTATCAATCTCCTCAGCTAAATCTTGTTCTTAGTTTTTTGACTCAACCTATTGCAATCATATGCTATCTGATTCTTCATTGGTGTCTCATAAGAAGCTTTTAAACTTGGTGTCTCTCATATATATGGCTGGTGGTTCGCATATGTTTGTTACGCATGTTGGTCTCATTTTTACCCCTACTCATTCTATTTTTGACATGTATCGTGTTCTTAAATTGTCTCTAAATCTTCTTTATGTTGGTCAATTTGTTAAATGTGTTATTCTCTTAACTTTTTCTCACAAATGATGTAATGTGTAGGATCAAATAGACAAGCCAGTTCATTGAGACCAGGAGTAAAATTGGTCATCTTTTTAATCTAACATCCCTGTATATGTCCAACTCATGTTTTTATAAATCTCTTGTTGCTGTTTTGCCTTATAGTATTTAGCATTCTCGTCTCAATCATACATCTTTACCCCGTGTCTAATCTTTAGCTTCTAGGGATTATTTAAGAGATGTTAAATTTAAATTAATTGATTGTGTGTCTTGTCAATTGGGGAAACAAAAAGATGTATCTTTTAATAGAGGTGATTCATTATCTTTTGTACCTCTTGAATTGGTTCATTTTGATATTTGAGAACTTACTCCTATTTCCACGAACGATGAATCTCGTTATTTTGTACTATTTATTGATAATTATAAACATATACACGTTAATATATCATTAAAAAAAAAAAATTTGGTAAATCAGTGACCACATGTAACCATTGATAGTGAGTACTCAAGTTTTGTTTGAATGGGGTCTTTGTTTTTTGCCCAAATCGGATTCAGATCGTTTCCTAACAACCACTTGTCAAGAATATGTTCACGAATATTTGGTCACGGCAAGCCAGAGGTATCGACAAACTCCTATCTTGTGTCTAAGAGCGACGCTAGGGATTTAAAATTTGGGTTTTTGAGATAATTTTTTATTATTATTAAAACCGCAAAGTGGACTCCTATTTTCCTACTAGATAATAGATATTCTTTTAATGCGAAATTTTGAATTGGCCGAATTTAGAATTAAATAGAATTTAAATAATACGATAAAATTCAAATACGGAATTAAATATTATTGAACCCCATATTATTTAATAGGAATTGAAAAACTTAAGCATTATTTGAGTCACAAATTAAAAAAATTAGTCAAATTAAAACTTGATTATTTCTTTTATTTTTTAAAAAACACAAAAATAAAAATATTGCTGAACACACTCTCAATTTTTGTGTGTTTATTTGAAAAGTGGTGGCGAGGTCAGTTGATTACGTCAAAAAATTTAAATACTATTTTTTTATAAACGTGAATTATATGTGTAATTAAATTAAATAATAAATAAGGTATTAAATAATTAATTTATATATTAATTA